TAAGTTTATAATTATAACATAACATTAAATAAATATAACATAATATTAAATAAGTAAATATATATAATATTATAAATAAATTATTGAATAAAAAATTAATTTACTAAAAATATTTAAATTTTTTATTTTTTTAAAAAAATTTTAATAATTAAAATATCCTAATTTTTCTCTATTACTAACAAAGGGAGTCACAAGAACATAAGAGGTAGTCCCAACTTTTTCGATATAATTAGTTATGACTGGACAGGATTGTTGGATTTGATGGGTCATTTCTATGGGGTGGATCATTGCAGCCTTGTCGCCCAAAAGCTAGGTCAGAAACTAATGGCACGGCATAAAAGGGGACTGAACCATTGGAGTGAAAGTCAAAGGCCTTTCCATTTTTATTTATTTATTTAAAAAAAAAATTAATTTATTAAACCTCTTTCTCGAATTATTTGGTGATATTCTTTTCAATGGCACTTCGTAGGTGTACCAACATGGGCTATTGGTGGTTATTGCTCGTCTTTAGTGCACGCATCTTTCACAAATTTGTGGAATTTAATTGGAATGGGCTTCGACAAAGAGTGAGTGATGACAAAACAATGTAAGGCGGTCAATTCAATTCCTAATACTTACTTTTGTTTGAAACCTTTTTTTTTTTTTTTTTAAACGAATTCCTAATACTTACTTTAGGGGAAGAAAGATTCATCAATTATCTTACACTACAATTCTTCTTAACACTAATTATAAACATTAATCATTTAAAAGTGTTTGAATTAGCGTTAATAAATTAAATAGTTTCGTGATCATCTCTTTTCATTAAAAATCAAAGATCCTTAATTTGAATCACATGTTATGCGAGTAAAGTAGAATAAAAGAGGGGAGATAGTTGCCTCCTATTGTATAACCAAGATAAAAAAAAAAATGTTTGGATTAGCAATTTTTCTATAAGAAATAAAATTTTATTGATATATGAAAACTAAAAATATTGTAGTATCAACTTAAATGAGATAATATATCATAAGTATTACCCTCATAAGATGTGTAAATTTAAAATTAAATAATTTAATACTTACATAAATATTATAACTAAACTCAAATTGAAAATTTAACAGTTAAATTATATTCTACAGGATATATACATGCAGACCAATAGAAAAATTAATATAGCCATAAATATTATATAATATTATAAATTTATAAATTATAATGTATTATTATTATATGA